GAGGTCGGAGGAGAACTCACCACCTCTGTCAGAGTGCAGACGCAGGACAGGAAAGTCCGAGTGGAACCGCTCGCTGAGCTGGAGACGAGAAGCGCGGATCCAAGGGATCAAAACATCAGGGACCTCACCCTTGGTGCGCAAGGGGAAGACCGTGGTGTAGCGCGAGTAGTCGTCAACAACGATCAGGAAGTACCTCTCCTGACCCTGTCCACGGACGCGGGCTGGGCCCCACACGTCCATGTGGAGCGTCTGCAAGGGAGCACTCGTCGGGGGAAACGAGGAGGAGTGAGGAGCGGCGTGCTGCCGCCCCTCGACACAGGGAAGACAGGGAGGAGCAGGCGAGGGTGGGAGGGGAGGTAGAACCCTGGGAAGACCAGAGACAAGGTACCGTTTGTGCATGCCACGAAGGCGCTGCACTGACGGGTGACCAAGGCGGTGGTGCCAGAGGACGGTCTCGTGCGCTAGAGAGCGACACGAGCAGGGGGCCGACAGCTGACCTGACGCAGACGCAGTCGCAGCTACTTGAGGGGACTCAGTGGTCAGTGTGTACAGGTCCGACCCCGGCTGCCGAGTGAAGGTAGCCAGGTGACGGCCCGTCCGAGCACACGTGCAGTGTGTCACGCGCTCGTAGGCAGGGGTGAACTGGTGGACACCCGCGTCCTGGAGCGCGCAACCCGCCACCAAGTTCGTAGAGAACGAGGGGAGGTGGAGACCTGACAGTGTGCCCGACGGAACCGCAGGACAGGGAAGGACAGTGGAGGAGGTCGCAATGACCGGACCCCCAGAGGGGTCAGCGAGGGAGACAGCAACTGGCCGAGCAAGCTGCTCAGGGGCAGTGCGGTCACGAAAGAAACAGCGAGAAGCACCTGAGTCCAGTGTGAAGGTGTGCGGTGCCTCAGTAGACCCAGTACCAGGGGGCGCAGACTCACTAGCACCTAGAGCAGCAGCCTCACCAGCACCTGGGGCAGTAGACACGCGAGTACCTGGAGCGGCAGCCTCACCAGCACCTAGGGCAACAGACGCACTAGCACCTAGAGCGGCAGCCTCACTGGTCCGAATGCCCGGGTCGGGCGGAACACGCAGGTACTGAGCACCCTCTCCACTAGTAGACAACACATACATGGCAGTGAGAATAGCATCAAAGTCTAGAGCATAGATATCAATGTTTTTCTTCATCAGATCAGCCCAGCGGGGCAGCTCAGTGGCAGCAGGGAAATGAGTACGCCAAGCGTCGTCGAGGCGGGAGAAGCACCGCTGCGTGGTGTGCGCCCTCCCACACGTCTGGCCAGTGCGGTCACCAGTGCGGATGACGTACGTGCAGCTAAGGCCACCCCCCCCCCCCCCCGTGCTGAGAGTACCACTGACGAAGCTCCTGGGGCGACGGAGTGTGCTGCTGGCTCTGGCCACTGCCAGCGCCTCCACGACCACCACCGCCCCCGCCGCCACCTCGACCACCACCGCCCCTGCCGCCGCTGCGTCCGCCGCCGCCCCCACCACCGCCCCCACCCCGGCCGCCTCCTCCGCCGCTGCCTCCACCACCCCCGCCGCTGCCACTAGCCCCCCCAGCCCCGCCACCGCCCCCACCGCCGCCACCGCCCCCACCACCGCCTCCCCCGCCGTCACCTCCACCTCCCTTGCCCCCTTTGCCCTTGCCGCTGCGGCGCCAGCTCGGAGCGGACGCAGTCCCGACCTGCTCAGTACCAACGAGGTCGACAGCAGCAGCAGAGGCGACAGAGGGGAGAAGGGGGGAAGGGGAACACCCCTCGAAGAACGGGGTGCGGGGGTCGCCACGAGAGGCAGCTACAGCGACTATGCTAGTCTCAGCTGCAAGCAGTTCCTTCTCGAGGAGGTCAATGGTGAGCTCAGTGGGGCAGCTAGCTAGGAAGTGGTCCCTGACTGCACGCAGAGTGTCAGGGAGGCGGGTGACTAGGTGGTAGAGAGTGAGCCAGAGCGGGGGGGGGTTCTTGGTAAGAAACTCAGCGGGCATAGCGGCACGGAAGCGGGCCTCACTAGTGCGGAGGTGCGTGATGAGGTCAGCGACGGTGGAGAAAGCTGACAGGTCTGGGAACAGGTAGGGGAGCGAGAGACGGCCTAGCGCAGCAGAGGCAGGTGAGGAGTAGCGTGCAACGACAGCAGTGTACAGTGCCTGCGCAGTTTTGTGTTGGCCAAAGTGCTCGCGCTCATCTACCGGCAGGGAGTTGCGAATAGCGAAGCGAGCGTGGGCGTCACGAGTCTGCCACTGTGAGCGGGCAGTACTGTCAGCAGTAGCAGCAGGGGCAGCAGCATGGCCTAGCGCGTGATCGTACAGTGAGATATCCTCCTTGACAGTGAGCTGGAGGAATAGGTGCAAGTCATCGAGCCAGATCTCAAACTTCAGTGGGCGGCCCTCAGCATCAAAAGCTAGCACAGCAGGACTAGCCATAGTTGCAGTGGCAGTAGGAGTAGTGACTGCAGTAGCAGTAGCAGTAGCAGTAGTAGGAGTAGCAGTAGTAGGAGTAGCAGTAGCAGGAACAGTGGGGCGGCACGGCTCTGCCTGGGCGGCGCGGCTCGGTTCGGGCGGCGCGGCTCGGTTCGGGCGGCGCGGCTCGGCTTGGTCTGGGCTACGCGGCGGTGCGCGCCTGGGGGCGTGCGCGTGGGCGGCTGTAGCGGACGGGCCGTGGCTGCGCGTGGGCCTGACTAGCGCGCGGGCGGCCTAGAGAGGGCGCCGCGGCGGCCTACGGGCGTGGCTGCGACGCTCTAGGCGGCGGTCGACGGGCGGCTAGGGGCTGCTCGTGGGCGGCGACGGTCGCACGGGCGGCTAGGGGTCGGCGCGCGCTCAGGAAAGGGGCCGCGCGCGGGCGTCTAGTGGGCTACGCGGGCAAAAAAAAGGGCCGCGCGGGCGACTAGCGGGCGACGCGGCCGAAAAAGCGGGGCGCACGAGGGCGCACTAGGCGTGAGGCGCACGAGGGCGCGATTAGGAGAAGGCGCACGAGGGCGCAACTAGCGGAACGATGGGCCCTTAGGTGAGCGGTCCTAGGGATAGGACCTACGCTCTTAATACCATGTTAGAAAGAAGAAGTTGTTGTACTAGAAAGGAATGGGAGTACAAGTACCCAACCCTAGAATAATGTACCCCCTAAAGGCTAACCCACTGTAGCCTACACAAATACAACATATATAATGTTTGACAGCAGCTGCCGGCCTCTCTCGCGGAGCTTCCTTCTCTCACCGTCCTGGAGATCCGATATTGCACTCTCCCGTCACATGATAATTTTCCTCAACTGTGGAGGCTCGAAACCCTCATTCTGGAAGGTGTGACGGAATTGGGCGGCCTACTGGAGGCTCTTGAGCATATGCTGCGACTCAAGACTCTAGCTATCACACATTGCAGTGATATCACGTCTCTGCCTGAGTCTCTTTTCCGCCTGTCTTCTCTCACCAGCCTCGACCTTGACATTTCACAACTACCAGTTCTGCCTGACAATTTTGAGCAGCTGTCAAAGCTTCAGACACTCACGCTAGAGTTAAGGCACCTCACAAGTTTTCCTGATTCCATCGCTATGGTTACTACGCTCAAGGAGCTTTCCTTACTTAATATTTGGGGCATACCGTTTCTGCCCGAGGACTTAGGACAGCTGTTTGCTCTTGAAAAGCTGCACCTGGAAAGGCTTCGCTACCTTATCTGCCTGCCGGAATCTCTCGGGCAGTTGAAACTTCTCCAGGAGCTGAAAATAGTGGAGTGTTGGCCGCTGCAGCAACTCCCGGACTCCCTATCGCAACTGTCTTCTCTCGAGTACCTGGAGATTAGATTTTGTCAGGGCCTGACAGTGCTGCCAGACGACTTGGGAAAGGCTCTGCACCGCTTACGTCATCTGCTTCTGCTGCATTGCACCGCTCTCACCCACCTCCCTCCATCCTTTTCCAGCCTGACGTCCCTCGAAAGCCTTAAAATTGTGGAAGCTAGGCGCTTCAGAGGCAGCCTACTAGACGGCTTCTGCTGCTTGAAAAGCCTAAAGGAGTTGGTGCTTCAAGGACTGTCACGCTTGTCTGCCCTTCCCGCCTCCTTTTCTGGCGTTTTTTCACTCATCCGCCTTGAAGTGATAAACCACCCTAAAGTAACGGTTCTGCCTGAGGGGATCGGACGGCTGCAGGCGCTCGAGGTGGTCAAGATTGCACGGATGGACGGCTTGAAACATCTCCCTGCTGAGCTTGTTAGGCTGCCGCAACTGCGGGTGTTGGAGGTGCGCGGATGTGGTGGGGTTGGCGCGCTGCTAGGAGATGAAATCGTGGTCAAACGCACTGCTGGGGGTTCTTCGGCAATTTCCAACAGCATCGCCAGCAGCAGCAGCAGCAGCAGCAGCAGCAGCAGGAGCAGCAGCAGCAGGGCACTGCTTCCATCCCTCCAATCTCTCAGGGTAAAAGCTCTTTCTTTCCGTTCCATGGGACCGTCCCTTGGCCAGCTCTCCTCTCTCACGAAGCTGAAGCTCTCAGAGATGCACAGCCTGGTATCGCTCCCTGAGACCATCTCTCAACTCGCGCGCCTGAAAAGGCTCCGAATCGATTCCGCCTTGAGGATGGAGGCTCTGCCTGAATCCTTTGGGGGGCTTTCGTGGCTGCGGGAGTTGCAGCTGGTTCGCCTCACCACAATAAGGCAGCTGCCAGAGTCTTTTGGGCAGCTGAAGATGCTCGAGACTCTGGAGATTATTGACTGCTACAAGCTGATGCAACTTCCAGAATCCTTTGGGAATCTGTCTAAGTTACTCTCCTGTACCCTTGTTAAGCTTGGGATCTCTAGGTTTCCAAGAAATTTCTGGGAGCTGTCTTCCCTCCAATATATGGTGCTCCTGGGACTGAAGCAGGTCCGCAGCTTGCCAGAGTCGTTTGCTAAGCTGCCTAAACTGCGGATGCTGCATGTGACTGCGTGCAAGAAGCTGTCTCGCCTGCCGCCTTCTCTCCAGAGAATGCCGACGCTGCGTGATTACCGTATCTTTGAGTGCCCTTTGCTCTCATAGCAAGACGCGATGGGAGTTTCTGCAAGGGTTGGTGAGGAGGATGGGGATGAGGGAGAGAGAGTGGCGGTTGATGAGGGAGAGGAGGAAGGAGGGGAGGAGGCAGCGAGGGAGGAGGGAGAAGATGCAGCGGTGGAAGGGGAAGAGGCAAGCTGGGAGGAGGAGGAGGATGCAGAGAGTGGTGGAGAGGATATGGAGATTGACCATAATTATGGCAGGGACAGCGGCATTGACTGGGACGAGAGGGCAGGCTGTAGTGCGGATGATGATGACGAGGAGGAAGAATGACATGGTGGGACTGGTGAGCAGGAGAGGGGAATGAGAATGTGGAGTGGACTAGAAGAACAAGAGGAAGAAAGGCCGTGAGGCTCTTTTAGGATTTTTTTTTGTTTTTAAGTGGGAGATAGGTGGGATCGGGAGGTAGTGGGCTTTTTGTTTGTCTTGGCTAGCGTGGATGAGTCTGTTTTGGTTATTATCTGCATGTGAGCGAGTGTGTTGCTACATGTGCCAGAGGCGTCCCTTGTGGTATGTGTATGCAGATTGGTGTGAGTAGGTGCAATGTTTTCCAGCATGGTGCTTCACGTCACGGGTGTGAGGTGAACATTGCAGCAGGAGCAAGAGGGGCATCTGGACGGAGGTGGATATTGCAAAGCATCGGTGCCAGGCTGTTGGTATGAAGCCGGAAAATGGTTGTAAAAGTGCAATTGCATTTTGAAACTGTAGAGGTTTAGTATTCTGTTACATGCGTATGTGTAAGAAAATTGAAATATTTGACCCCTTTGTACTTCACCACTCTCCATGTGTGTTTCGTATAGAAACACATTGTTACGAATATATATATATATTTTACGAGTGGTGGATTCGCACTCACAAACGAGTACACTGCCATCACTTTCTTGGCGGGAACAGCATGGCCCCATCCAGTCACCTGCACACCCATCTCGGGATCGCGAAAGGCACGATGGGTGAATGTAAGGAATTTTCTTGGCATTCCTTACGGAGCCCGACTACATCGCGTACAGCAACAGCCGTTGTTCGCCCGTTACTGCTAACGGGGCTTCGCCGACTTCGCGCGCACTGTTTCACCAAACCTCGCACTGCTGGCCTGGCCGTGTCGGCCTACGCTTCGGGACTAGCCCGAGCCTCGCTCCAGCGTAGCACTAGCTAGCTCGCACGCACCGCGTTACCGTTTGCATGTTTCGCGTATAAATGTTCGCTCATGCCTTCGCTCACATTTTGTACTCGTTTGACACCTTAGTGCAATTCTCGCTACCTCGATTCATTGCACCCGTAACAGTGAACCTCGCAGAGTCGAAATTTACGTTCGTCGTTGTGTGCCTGTATTGCTCGCCCTTTTCGTAAGTATGATGTAACGTGGGAGAATCTTTCGGGAATGATTCGAGATAATCGAGCGGTTGAGTGCGGTGTCACTGAGAAGCCCAAGGGTCTCCGAGGTGTGAGAACTGCACTCTCTGATCCCCTGGAAACAGTTTCTACTGATCCTCAACACTCCAGTCTCACTGACCTAGCTAGAGAACGATTAGAAGCCACGTTACCTAGTTAGTAGCAGACCTGACGCGGTAAAGAGCGGCATCATTACTGATTTTCTCCTCTTTTCACAATGCCAGTCGGATCGCCGATCCAGCGGTTACCTGACGAGCTTCTGTCCCGGGTTCTACGTTTTCTGGTTCGACCTGATGGTCAGTTGGAGCACTCACTTGTTAGCAAGAAATGGCATCGCGTCGCGCACCGCGTGCAATACGAGCTCCGCTTGCTTGATGACCTCCGTATGGATCCGCGTCGCCTCGTTCAACTTCTGTCGTCGTTCCCTAACCTCGAAAAGCTCATCCTTTCCTATGGCAGCCTCACCTTCGCCCCTAATTTCTTATTTTCTCACCTCGCTAGCACGTGTCACCATCTGACCCAGCTTCGTGTCGAACCGATGTCACGCGGAGGTGTATCTGAGAAGAGCCTAGTTACGCTGTTCGAGGGGTGTACGCGGCTGGAAGATCTTGATGTGTATTGTTCGGAGGGTGTTGCCATTCCCACGTCGATCGACCGACTCACACGGCTCAGAAGCTTTACCCTCAGGGCATTCGTTACCCGTCTACCCGACACTCTTACCTCATTACAGCTTCTCAAAAGCCTCGTGCTGCAAACTGTTAGGCTCGAAGCTTTGCCTGAAGATTTCGGCAACCTGGTTTCCTTGACGTCTCTGAAGCTGCACGATTGCCGCTTGGCGTCACTTCCAGACTCTTTCGGGCAGCTTACCGCTCTGAACCGTTTATCCTTGAGTCCCTCCTCGACATTGCAGCTGCCGGACTCTTTCACCGAGCTCTCTTCTCTCGCCGTCCTGGAGTGTCGACGATGCAGAATTCTTCTTCCGTCACAGGTGGATTTCGGTCAACTGAGGGCACTCGAAACCATCATTTTAGATGAAGTGGGGGGAATGCGCGACCTGATTGCTGATCTGGAGGATTTCCAGCGGGTGAAGACTCTAACCATTAAGCGCTGCAGTGACATCACGTCTCTGCCCGCGTCTCTTCCCCGCCTGCCTGCACTCACCAACCTCACCCTTGATATCGAACTCTCTGTGTTGCCCGAAGATTTCGGGCAGTTGTCAGTGCTTCGGACACTCGTGCTAAATCTGAGAAGTCTCACAGCCTTACCTGATTCCATCGCCTTGGTTACCACACTTCAAGACCTTTCCCTTGACTATCTTCGGGTTTTGACGCATCTGCCTCAGGAGTTCGGCCAGCTGGTTGCTTTGGAGAAGCTGTGCATGACAGACCTTCAACAGCTCACACGCCTGCCCGAAACCTTCGGGCAGTTGACAGCTCTCCGAGAGCTGAAAATAGTGGAGTGTACGCAGCTGCAGCAACTCCCGGACTCCCTATCCCAGCTCTCTTCTCTCGAGCGCCTCGAGATCAACAGATGCCACAGCCTCACGGTGTTGCCTGCCGACATGGGAAACGGTTTGCACTTCTTGCGCCATCTGCTTCTACTGGACTGCACCGCTCTCACCCACCTCCCTCCATCCTTCTCTGGTCTAACGTCGCTCGAAACCCTCGAGATTGTAGACGCGAGACGCTTCAGGGGCGCGCTGCTAGACGGCTTTGGCTGCTTGAGGAGCCTGAAGGAGCTGTCGCTTGATTACATGCCACGGCTATCCTCCCTTCCTGCTTCCTTCTCGGGCGTTCTTTCCCTCACCAGCCTGGAAGTGGGGTATTGTCCCAAAGTAACGGTGTTGCCCGAGGGAATCGGACGGCTGCAGTCGCTCGAGGAGGTCAGGATCTTTGGGATGGACGGCCTGAAATGTCTCCCTCCGGCACTCTTTGAGTTGCCCCGTCTGCGGGTGTTGGAGGTGCGGGGATGTGGTGGATTAAGTGCGGTGCTAGGCGATGAGAAGGTGGTACGACGTACTGCCAGAGGCTTTGTGACCAGCACCAGCAACATCAACCGCAGCAGCAGTAGGGCGTTGCTTCCTTCAATTCAGAACCTCAAGATAAAAGATATCGATGTTGAGTCTTTCGGTCCGTCCCTGGGTCGACTATCTTCTCTGACGCAGCTGAAACTTCTCGAGATGCACAGACTAGAGTCTCTCCCTGACTCCATCGCTCACCTCTCACAGCTGCAAAGCCTTCGGGTTGATACGGCTTTTAATCTAAAAGCAGTGCCCGAGGCTCTTGGAGGCCTTGCAGGGCTGCGTGTCTTGCAGCTGGTTCGCCTGTACACGATGCGGCAGCTGCCCGAGTCTCTGGGGCAGCTGAAAATGCTTGAGACGCTGGATATTATTGATTGCTACAAACTGATGCAGCTTCCACAGTCCTTCGTGAGTTTGTCCAAGCTACGATCGTGCTCCCTTATCAAGCTCGGGATCCCAGTCATTCCGGATGAGATTTGGAAGCTTTCTTCCCTCCGAAAGTTACTGATTTTGGGACTGAAGCAGTTGCGAAGCTTGCCGGTTTCGTTTACCCAGCTGCCTAGGCTTAAGGTGCTGCAGGTGATTGCGTGCAACAAGCTGACTCGTTTGCCGTCCTCTCTCCGGAGGATGCCGACGTTGAGTGAGTGCTACATCAGTGAATGCCCTTTGCTCTCGCGTCGGGACACTAGAGGGGTTCCTGCAAGGAGAGAGGAGGGAGAGGAGGGGGAGGGGGAGGAGGAGGACGAAGAAGGGGAGGAGGAAGAGGGAGGGAATGCGGGAGAGGAAGAGGGGGAGGAGGGAGCCGATGCGGCGGCGGGCGGGGAGGCAGTGGAGGAAGACGAGAGTGGGGGTTATGATGATAATATTGATCATGAGTATGCCTTGGACAGTGATTATGACGACGACGTCAGAGACTGGGGGAACAGTGATGATGACTAGGATGAATAGGTGAGACTGGTGGGTTGGAAGTTGGGGACGAAATCATGTATGAAAATAGGCTGTAGTTGTCAATGGAAAGGTTATGTGTTGTTAGCGCTCCTTACCAGATGCGTGCACTCAGCTGCAGTGTGATGCAGAAAAGTGCCACTGGTACCTAAAACACAGGGGCAAACTTTCTCCTAAGGGGCTCCCAACGCCTATAAGGTCATCTAGTAAGCGCAAAATACACTTTATATTCTAATCTGTGACAGTAATATGTATCTTTTTGCTCCATTCTGTACACTCCTTGCGTATTTGCGAATAACAACTCACTGCCTATCACAAATTTCTTACACTTCTCGCTGGAATCGCATCCACAAACGGGTTCGCCATCACTTTTCTGGCGGGAAGCGCACAAGCGCACGTCGGCTCACCATGAGACTCACACTTGGGGCTTGCGAAAGCACTGTGGGCGATCCTCGACAATCGAGATTGAGGTTCGTCAGTGTGCACCCTGCATCGCCGACAATTTCGCGCAAGTACGGTGTTACGTGGGAGCATCTGCCGGAAATGGTTCGAGAAGAACGAGCGGTTGAGTGCGGTGTAACTGACAACCTCAAGGTTTCCTTGTTGGTTTGAGCGACCAGACCAGACCTAGCGACAACCCTCGTTGAGAGAGATGCACTCTGTGATCCTCGGGGGAATGATTTCACGAGTGATTCCTTTCCCCTTTCAAGCTCACAACAACCTTGCTATTAGACGATTAGGACTCTCGTTACCTGATTAGTAGCAGAATCAACAAGCTGAACAGATAATCATTCACTATTTTCTCCGCCTTTCACAATGTCAATCGGATCGCCGATTCAGCGGCTACCTGAGGAGCTTCTTTCTCGGATCCTACGTTTTCTGGTTCGACCTGATGGCCTGCCAGAGCACGCACTTAGAAAAGCCCTTAGAGATAGCAGTTGTGTGTCCTTGCTGTCGCGCTGTACTTGTCAGGTCAAGGGTCGCTGACCTTTGACTTTCGCGTAACCTCCAGCAGTTACTTCAACCTCCGAGGGTTGACTCGCTGGTGCCTCGATATGCTTTGCTTCGCTTGTGCCTTGGTGTTTCGACACGACAGAGGCGCTTAAGACCGATTGTTTCCAACACTCCCCTTCGCTTCTGGAGTGTCGCTGACGTGGCTCTGTCCAGTCAGCAACATGCAGTATTCGAACTTCTGCTTTCCGAGCTTCTTGTTGGGCTGAGAAAAGCCCTTAGGATCTTTACAGGGATGAACTCTGTGTAGGACTGTAATAGCGGAAGCGTTTTAATGAAGAGATTGTGAACCACCTTGCGCTAGTATGTGAGGGCAAAGTAGATTAATTAAAACAAAGAGATACAAGATTATATAAGAGTACAAGGAATACGAATAGGTACGGTTGTAACTACTTTACTGTTGCTGTTGCGGTTCGATACAGTGACGACTCGGGCAACTGCTCTCTAGCGAGTGTCAGAATTCCAGCCACTAACCACTGGGATAAAATGGCTTGTTTGTGTAGCGGGTGAGTGCGCCCATAACCCCCCAGGCCGACGTGCCTGTAACCCTTCCCTAGGATCGATCGGGGATCTCCAGTGGACCTCTGACACCCCCCCGCACTGGGATGCCCGAGGTGCACACACCGGGATTCGAACCCGAGACCTTCGCTCTGATACCATGTCAGAATCCCAACCACTAGACCATTGGGATAAAAGGGCTTGTTTGTGTAGCGGGTGAGTGCGCCCATAACCCCCCAGGCCGACGTGCCTGTAACCCTTCCCTAGGATCGATCGGGGATCTCCAGTGGACCTCTGACAGCGAGTCAGTTGTGTGTCCTTGCTGCCGCGCTGTACTTGTCAGGTCAAGGGTCGCTGACCTTTGACTTTCGCGTAACCTCCAGCAGTTACTTCAACCTCCGAGGGTTGACTCGCTGGTGCCTCGATATGCTTTGCTGCGCTTGTGCCTTGGTGTTTCGACACGACAGAGGCGCTTAAGACCGATTGTTTCCAACACTCCCCTTCGCTTCTGGAGTGTCGCTGACGTGGCTCTGTCCAGTCAGCAACATGCAGTATTCGAACTTCTGCTTTCCGAGCTTCTTGGTCAGGTAGTCAGCTGCCATCTCGGACGTGGGACAGTATGACAGTTCGAGCCTTCCTTTCTCGATCTCGTCCTTCACGAAGAAATATCGCAGGGCGATGTGTTTCGTCCTGTTTGCGAAGCCGTTCTTGTTGGCGATGCGAATTGCCGACTGGTTGTCGCAGAACAGAGTGAAGCTGGGTAACTGAGCCAGCTTCGCTTCTTCCAGCAGTTCGCGAAGGTAAAGTCCTTCCTTGGTGGCTGAACAGAGTGCAATATATTCTGCTTCGGCTGACGAGAGAGCTATTAATTCCTGCTTGCTCGACTGCCAAGAGATAGGTCCGATAGGTTCGAGGCGGTAGATGTAGCCAGTGCGAGAACGCCTGTTGTCGGAATCGCCAGCGTGATCGGCGTCGACGTAGCCGATTAACTTAGGCGGCGTAGTTGCGTTCTTGTAGTAAGTTAGACCGATCGTCGGGGTGCTAATAAGGTAATGAAGGGCGCGGTCGAGTTCTGCTAGGTGTTCCGTTTCGGGCCTCTTGAGATAGGTGGCGAGTTGGCTTGCAGAGTACGATAGGTCTGGGCGGCAGGTGACGGCTGCAAAGAGAAGGCAGCCCAGCTTTCTCTGGTAGTCGCGTATGCCGGCGGGCTTGAGTAGAGCGGAGCCTTCCTTGTTGTTTCCTGACGTGTAGCGGTACGGTGTAGAGATGATAGTTGGTGTAAGTGCGAAACGCTTGGCGATGGTGTCGGCGTATTTCGCGGCGCTGAGGTAGATGGCGTCTTCCTCTTCGCGGATGTTGAGCCCGAGGTACTGTGTAACGGTAGATGAGACTGTCAGTGTGAGATCCTGCTGTAGCTCCCCTTCGAACCAGGTGGTGACGCTGTCGGTTGAGCCGATGTAGAGGAGATCGTCTACGTAGACGATTAGTAGGATGTAATCTGCGCCTTTCGTGAGTCGGTGCATCCCCTGATCGTGAGGTAATTGCTTGAAGCCGATGCGAATGAGACGGGCGTGCAGGTACTGCTGCCATAGCCGCGGAGCTTGCTTGATCCCGTAGAGCGACTTCAGCAGCTGACAGACTTGGTTCGGCTCCCCGTTGGTACCGTGCGGTAGTTCCACGAAAATTTCTGCGTCAACGGGTGCGTAGAGAAATGCGTTCGCGACATCGATTTGCCGTAGCTTCTTTTTCTTCATGGCGGCAATCGCGAGAAGAATTCGGAGCGAAGTGTGTCGGCTGACCGGAGCGAAGGTTTCGGTGAAGTCTCGCCCGTGTTCTTGGTCGAAGCCACGCACGACCCATCGTGCCTTGAATTTGTCAATGGTGCCGTCGGCCTTCGTCTTCACGCGGAAGACCCATTTCCCGGTGAGAATGGTCTTGTTCCGTGCTACGCCGATGGGGACAATTTTCCACGTGTTGCGCTCCTCTAATGCCTTCAGTTCTTTGTCCATGGCTTCGCGCCATTTTTCCCTATGCTCCCCCCCCAGAGCCTGCTGAACTGTGGCAGGCTCCTTAGGAATGTCCGTGCCGTGGACTGCGGTGACGAGCCCGAGTATCTGGAGTCCACTCGGTGTGTAGCGGGGAAGTGACATGTCCGCGGGATAAGCAGCTTCGTCTCCCGCTTCCGGATCAGGTGCGAAGTTGGGTCCTATGCGTTCTGCTTCGTTGGTGTTTACTTGTGCAGGTGTAACGTAACCGTTGTCAGCGAAATGGTAGTAGGTTTCGTCATTGATGCTCTCGCGTGGGTTTTCGTCGTCCATTGGCACGTTGACGGAGCAGTAGGGGAGGGGTCCGGCTTCTTCCGAGGCTCCTTCCACGTTCTGCTCGTCCCAGTCAGCTTCGTCTTCTGCCGAAGCGAAGGCTCGGTCTCCACGGAAGCCACCTGTGGGGTCTCGGTTTTCGTCCAGGTTGGCAAGGTACGTCTGCAGTGTGAGTCGCTCGTAGAAAATGACATCACGTGCTGCCACTGTTTCTTTTGTCTCGACGTCGAAAATCTTCCATGCGTTGTAGTGTTTTTCGATGCCCAGGTGTAGTCCCCACTGTGCCCGTTGGGAGAATCGTCCTGCTCGTGCAGATGGAGGTCGGTACTGTACCATGCAGCCGAAGACTCGTAACATTTTTGTGCTGCCCAATTTTCCTGTCCACAGCAGATGCGGTGATGTGTTGTTCGGAAGTGACGACGAAGAAAGCAGGTTGTGCAGCATCACGGCATGGTCCATTGCTTCTGGCCACTGGTGGGTGGGTAGCCGCATGCCACGTAACAGTTTTCGCATGGTGTTCTGGAGGGTCCTGCTCATCCTCTCTGCTACACCCTGCTGTTGATGGGCGTAGGGAAGGGAAATGAGTCGCTTGATTCCTCTCTCTGCCAGATACTGCTTGAACCTTTGTGAGGTGTATTCTCCTCCCCCGTCTGACTGGAAGCTCTTTAGTTTGACGCCCGATTCCCTTTCTGCTACGGGGAGCCAGGCGACGAACGCTTCGAACGCCATATCCTTGCTTGGAAGATTCAGGTGCCAAACGTAACGTGTCGCGGCGTCGATGAACGTGATGGTGTAGTTGTACGCGTTCTGCCCTGGCTCGCGATTGTACAGGATGTCGCTGTACACCTTCTCGAGTGGCGCGTAAGCTGGTGCGCTTGGGTTATGGTGAGACGCGAACGGTCGATGTGGTAAGTCAGCTTCAGGGCAGGTGAAGCACGTTCCGCGTACTCGTTGAAGTTCTCTTCCGTCGGTCAGTAGTAGTGAGTCCTTGTCAAGTACTCCTGCTCTTATCGTATTATTTAATATTGTGTTGCTTGGGTGTCCCATCCTTGCGTGCCAGGTGCTTTCGTCGGCGCGATGTCCGGGTGATCGTCGGTACAGATCGGAGTTGGAGTAGAAGTTGGCGGTGAAGTTGGCGCTACGATGAACTTCTCGTGGTGCTGGGTGTAGTTGTTGCGCGGGTGTCGGTGGTGTGTCGTTGACGAGGAGCGGTGCCGTTGAAGGACCAGCGATTGGTGTTGACGTTCCTGCTGCTACCGTTGATAGTTCTGCTACTGCCGATGTTGTCTCTGCTGCTGCCGGTGTTGTCTCTGCTGCTGCCGATGTTGTTTCTGCTGCTGTCGATGTTGTCTGAATTGTTGCTAACGCCCTTGTTCTTTCTGCCTCAGGGATGGTGTGTGAATACCAGAAGCCTTCTGGACTGAAGTCTGGATCAAGGTCTGGAGGGTGGGTCCAGGAGGTGAAAGTGACGATGCCGTCGCTGTCTGCTGTGCCGAGATCTGGGACAAAGCCAAGAACGAAGACGTTGTTTTTGAGGATCGCCTTTCCGATGTAGAGGCCGCCCTTCCCGTGGTACAGCTTGAATTCCTGGGTGGTGCTGTCTGCCTCGAGGTGAATGCCCTTCGCCATCAACTGACTGACGCTCAGTAAGTTGTAGCCGAGGCCTTCTGCGATTAGAACCTTAGACATTTGTAGAACGACATTTGTCTCTCGTGATTGAAGTTGTACCACGCCTTGTCGTCGTGTGCGCAGGTTTTGATTATTGGCGACGGTGATGACCACTTCGTGTTGAAGTTGATACTCTCGCTGCACGAAACGTCCTGAAGAACACATGTGTTGTCCGCAGCAACTGTCCAAGAACCACGTGTCCTTCCCGGATGGCTCGCTTTGAGCAATGGCTGCGTATGTTGGGTTCGGCTGGAGTGACTGGCGGCGAGGTGTGGTGTCGTCAAGTCGTTCTTCCGGTGAGTAGTATGGTGGTGACTCGGTGATGCAGGAGTCACTTAGTCTTGCCATGCAGCTGACGATGTTTCTTGCTCCTTGTGCAGGTGGTGTTGTTGACGGTTGCGACTGACTCGTGGGGTTCGCCTGCGTTGAAGCCACTTGGCTGCTGGAAGGTCGAAGCTGTCGTTGCGGTGGAGTTGACTGTTGTCGGTTCGGGCAGTGTGTGCGCGGGTGCCCTGACGTCTTGCAGATGTGGCAGAAGGGAGGTACGGACTTCGGCTGTTGTTGTTTGTAGTTGTTGTAGCGTCGCTGAGTGTGGAACGCGAATTCCGGTGCTGATATCTTCTTCTCGTGTCGTTCTTCTTGCAGGTCCATGTCTTGCTGCTCGGCATGGATTTCAGCGCAGAGTGCTGCTTCGGAGATTCTTCCGTGGGCTCGGAGAATGGCCTTTGTGGCGCGCCATTGAGGACCGAGGCCGCCGATGATGACTGTCACGAAGGCGTCTTCAGAAATCGACCCCCCGCATCGCAGAAGCTTGTCGCGCAACTCGCGACATCGACTGATATACGCCATTCCTTTCTCTCCTGGTTTCATTTCGACCGTTGTCAGTTGCGCCATTAACCGACTTTGACTTACGCTGTCTGTTGCTTGATACAGGCTCTTCAAGTGGTTGTACGCGAGCTCCGCGGAGTTGCCGTAACCCCGGTAAGACCGTATGTTCTGCTGTTGAGTTGGGGTGATGTTCCTCAGCAGAATCGTGTACGCCATCATCGACTGGTAGGTGTACTGCTGCTTCTCATACTGTGTGCCGTTCGTTGGATATGGCAGGGACCCGTCGAAGAAGCCAAGTATCTGCGCGCCTTCCATCATTAATTCGAATTCAAACGACCAGGTGAAGAAATCCTTTCCATCGAAAGGCCTTGACGTCTGCATCTTCAGAACGTGCGCGAACTGCGACTGAACTTGTAGTGCGTCCAGTGACTTTTCTTGTCCAGGTGAGGGTTGCGGGTGTGGCATGAAGCTGATGGACCCGCGCTCGTACGGAGCAAAGGTAGGCTGCTGCTGTTGATTTCCTCGTGCGTATGATGAGCCGTCGAGACTCATGGGAGTTGCTCCGTTGTTGTTGCTGTTGTGTGACTGCGCAGGTGCCGATTGCTGGTGTTGCTCGTAGAAGGACATGAAGGAGAAAAAATTCTCCATCATGTTTTGGTCGAAGTCTGCAGGTTGATTCGCAGGAGTCTCGGTGGATGTTGCCCTGTGTCTTGTTGCCGTGCCCTCCTCTGTCTGTAGGCCAGAGGCAGGAGGTGGAGTAGGAGTAGTGCCCTGGGAGCCGTTGGAGGAGCTCCTTTCCTTTTGTGTAGCCATGCTTGTTGATGCTGTTGGTATTTTAATAGAAGTCGAATTCTCCCTGACTGCTCTCATACCATGTTGGGCTGAGAAAAGCCCTTAGGATCTTTACAGGGATGAACTCTGGGTAGGACTGTAATAGCGGAAGCGTTTTAATGAAGAGATTGTGAACCACCTTGCGCTAGTATGTGAGGGCAAAGTAGATTAATTAAAACAAAGAGATACAATATTATATAAGAGTACAAGGAATACGAAGAGGTACGGTTGTAACTACTTTACTGTTGCTGTTGCGGTTCGATACAGTGACGACTCGGGCAACTGCTCTCTAGCGAGTCAGTTGTGTGTCCTTGCTGTCGCGCTGTACTTGTCAGGTCAAGGGTCGCTGACCTTTGACTTTCGCGTAACCTCCAGCAGTTACTTCAACCTCCGAGGGTTGACTCGCTGGTGCCTCGATATGCTTTGCTTCGCTTGTGCCTTGGTGTTTCGACACGACAGAGGCGCTTAAGACCGATTGTTTCCAACAGTTACCTGATTAGTAGCAGAATCAACAAGCTGAACAGATAATCATTCACTATTTTCTCCGCCTTTCACAATGTCAATCGGATCGCCGATTCAGCGGCTACCTGAGGAGCTTCTTTCTCGGATCCTACGTTTTCTGGTTCGACCTGATGGCCTGCCAGAGCACGCACTTGTTAGCAAGCAATGGCATCAAATCGCGTGCTGCGTGCAATACGAGCTCCGTTTGCCCCATGACATCCGTATGGATCGGCCTCGGCTTGTTCAACTGCTATCCTCGTTCCCTAACCTCGAAAATCTAATCCTTTCCTCTTGCAGCCTCACCTCCATCTCCAAGTTTGTATTCTCTCACCTCGCTAGCTCGTGTCACCATTTGACCCAGCTTCATGTCGAAACGATGTCACCTTGGACTAATAAAAGAGATGTAACCGAGCAGAGCCTCATTGCGCTGTTCGAAGGGTGTACGCGGCTGGAAGATCTCTATGTGTACTGCTCGACGAATGCTGCCATTCCCACGTCAATCGGCCGACTTACTTCCCTCAAGCACCTGCACTTCGTGGCAAGTGGAGTCACGCGCCTTCCCGACACACTGACCTCGTTACAATCTCTCAAAAGGCTCGTGCAGAACACTTATCAGCTCGAAGCTCTGCCTCAGAATTTCGGCAATCTGGTTTCTTTGACGTCGCTGGAGCTCCACCATAGCCGCTTGGCGACACTTCCGGAATCTTTTGCGCAACTTACCGCTCTCAACCGTTTTTCCTTAAGTGGCTGCTCTACGCTGCAGCTGCCGACCTCTTTCACCGAGCTCTCTTCTCTCGCCGTCCTGGAGCTCCGACATTGCAGCATTCTTCCTCCGTCGCCGGCCGATTTCGGTCAACTGGGGGCGCTTGAAACCCTCATTATGGTTGAAGTGAGGGGAATGCGCGACTTGATTGCGGATCTGGAACATTTGCAACGACTGAAGACTCTTTTTATCAACGGCTGCAGTGACATCACGACTCTGCCCGTGTCTCTTCCCCGCCTGCCTGCACTCACCGATATCACCCTTGACATGGGACAAATTTCAGTTCTGCCTGAAGATTTCGGGCAGTTGTCTACGCTTCGAAGGCTCGTGCTAAATCTGCAAATTCTCACAGCCTTACCTGATTCCATCGCCCTGGTTACCACTCTTCAAGAGCTTTCCCTCAATCGTCTTCTTAATGTGACACATCTGCCCCAGGAGTTCGGTCAGCTGGTTTGTTTAGAGAAGCTGTATTTGAAAGACCTCCGACAGCTCATGCGCCTGCCTGAAACATTTGGGCAGTTAATTGCTCTTCGGAAGCTGAAAATAGTGGAGTGTAGGCAGTTGCAGCAACTCCCGGACTCCCTATCCCAGCTCTCTTCTCTCGAGCGCCTCGAGATCAACAGATGCCACAGCCTCACGGTGTTGCCTGACGACATGGGAAACGGTTTGTACTCCTTGCGCCATCTGCTTCTACTGGACTGCACCGCTCTCACCCACCTCCCTCCATCCTTCTCCGGCCTGACATCTCTTGAAACGCTGAAGATTGCACACGCGAAACGCTTCAGGGGCGCGCTGCTAGACGGCTTTGGCTGCTTGAGGAGCCTCAAGGAGCTGTCACTCGATTCCATGCCGCACCTATCCTCCCTTCCTGCTTCCTTCTCGGGCGTTGATTCCCTCACCAAAAAGTAACGGTCCTGAAAGTAACGGTCCTGCCAGAGGGAATCGGACGGCTGGCGGCGCTCGAGGAGGTCAGGATCTTTGGGATGGGCGGCCTGATATGCCTCCCTCCGGCGCTCCTTGAGCTGCCTAGTCTGCGGGCGTTGGACGTGCGGGCATGTGATTCACTAAGCGGGGTGCTAGGCGATGAGACGGTGCTTCAACGCACTGCCAGGGGCTTTGTGACTAGCACTGGCAGCAGGAGCAGCAGCCGTCCTCTGCTTCCTTCCATACAAAGCATCAAGATCAAAGAGCTTAATGTGGAGTCCTTTGGTCCATCTCTCGGTCGTCTGTCCTCATTGACGCAGTTGAAGCTTCTAGATATGCACAAGCTTGACTCTCTCCCCGACTGCATCTCCCAACTCTCGCAGCTGCAACGGCTTAAGGTTGATTCGGCCTACTATCTGAAAGCACTGCCCGAGACCATTGGGGGGTTTGCAGGGCTGCGTGTCTTACAGCTGGTTGACCTCATCTCAATGCGGCAGCTGCCCGAATCTCTTGGGCAGCTGAAGATGCTCGAGACGTTGGAGATTATTGACTGCTACAAGCTGATGCAGCTCCCAGAGTCGTTTGTGAATCTACCCAAGCTACGATCCTGCTCTCTTATCATGCTCGGAATCCCAAGCATTCCGGATGACATCTGGAAGCTTTCCCTCAAGAAGTTGCTGATTCTGGGGCTGAAGCACTTGCGAAACGTGCCGGATTCGTTCACCCAGCTGCCTAAGCTTGAGAAGCTGGAGGTGATCATATGCAAGAAGCTGACTCGGCTGCCCGCCTCTCTCTGGAAAATGCCAACATTGCGTGAGTGCGACATCAGTGAATGCCCTCTGCTCTCCCGCTGAGACACGAGAGGGGTTCCTGCAAGGAGAGAGGAGGGAGAGGAGGAGGGGGAGGAGGAAGAGGAAGGAGGGGATGCGGAAGAGGAAGAAGGGGAGGAGGGAGGCGATGTGGGTGGGGAAAGGGAAGAGGCGGGCGGGGAGGCACCAGAGGACGAGGAGAGTGGGGGTGAAGATAATGACATTGATCATGAGTATGGCTTGGACAGTGACGACGACGACGACTTTGGCAGACACTGGGGAGGTAATGATGATGACTAGGATAAATAGGATGGAAAGCGTGAATGAAAGTAGGTTCGGTAGGCTCCAGACGTTGGCGCGGTAGGTTGGACGTTGGGGATCGGGAAAGCGTGTATGAAAGTAGGCTCAAAGTGTTGAAGGGGAGTTGTGGTTTCTTCCCCTTACCAGGTGTGTGCAGTCAGCATGTGCAGCTTGATTCTTTAGAAGCGCCAGTGACCAACTGTATTTTCCTCTTCGCATGCTGAGAGACAATTTAAAAGGGTGCAGCTTGTGCGGGTTTGTAGGAACATCCACATACTGTAGCCTTGCAGTTGGCTTGGTTGCACAAGTTGGCTTGGTTGCACAAGTTGGCTTGGTTGCACAAGTTGGCTTGGTTGCACAAGTTGGCTTGGTTGCACAAGTTGGCTTGGTTGCACAAGTTGGCTTGGTTGCACAAGTTGGCTTGGTTGCACAAGTTGGCTTGGTTGCACAAGTTGGCTTGGTTGCACAAGTTGGCTTGGTTGCACAAGTTGGCTTGGTTGCACAAGTTGGCTTGGTTGCACAAGTTGGCTTGGTTGCACAAGTTGGCTTGGTTGCACAAGTTGGCTTGGTTGCACAAGTTGGCTTGGTTGCACAAGTTGGCTTGGTTGCACAAGTTGGCTTGGTTGCACAAGTTGGCTTGGTTGCACAAGTTGGCTTGGTTGCACAAGTTGGCTAATGTTCTCCTTCCATCGTATACGGTACAGGTAACATACTGGCCTGCACCAGGAACATCATTCCTCCACCTCATTACATCGCTCACAGCCTAACGCTAGTTTTGTCTATCCCATTCACATCCAGAATCAAGCCATGATCACTACTCGCTCGCACTACCCCACGACTTCTCCGGTTCAGGTGGGAACTTAGTACTCAGAAACTCTTTCTTCCGGTGCATGAAATGCACCGCCAGGAACTGCACCGGCTCACTCTGCGCCTCCTCCTCCCACCCGCGGAAAAACCCGTAGTGCATCGTGCTCGGACACTTGTCCCCGGTTTTAAACTTGAAGAACGGGCGGCCGGGCGTGAGGGAGAAGTTGTTGTCGAAGACGCAGAGGCCGGGGTCGGACCAGGAGGAGTTGAGGCAGCGCCGCGGCTGGCAGAGGGATTGCACGCGGAAGCGCGGTTGAATGCCCCGCTTGCGGAGGGCTTTGGCAGTCTCGGGTTTGACGCCCGATACACATGGGGGTTCCACCCACTGCCATGGAGGTGGGAATGGGCGCAGGGAAGGCGTGATATGAGGAGCAAACAAAAATAGGTTGTCAAAGACGCAGAGGCTGGGGTCGGACCAGGAGGAGTTGAGGCAGCGCCTCGGCTGGCAGAGGGATTGCACGCGGAAGCGCGGTTGAATGCCCCGCAACACGTTTGCGCAGGGCCTTGGCGGTTTCAGGCTTCGCGCCTGACACACACGGAGGCTCCACCCACTGCCGTGAGGGGGGTGGGGATGGGGGTGGGGATGGGAGTGGGTGCAGGGAAGAAGTTAAAAAGGCGGAGGGCAGCACCGCGGCTGGCAGAGGGACTGCACTCGGCAGTGTGGATGCACGCCCCCCCTTGCTTGCGGAGAGCCTTGGAGGTTTCGAGGTTGACGCCCAGCACACTTAGAGGCTCCACCCACTGCCGTGAGGGGGGTGGGGGTGCGAGTGGGGTTCGGGTTGAGGTTGGGAGTGGGAAGGGGTCAAATGGGAGCGAAGCAGGGATAGGATGCAAGAGGGACTACACGCAAAAGCGTAACTCCCTGCTCGCATACAGGCTTCGTGGTTTCGGGCTTCACGCCGGAAACGCACGGAGGCTTCAAGAACTGTGGCAGTGAGGGGGTGGATGTGAGGTTAGGAGTGGGGCTGGGGGTGGGGTTTCGGATGGGTGCAAGAAAGGGGTTGCAGGGGGGCAGAAGAAGAGATGGTTGGGAGGGGAAATGCAAGAAGTGGCAGCAGCGAAAGTGCAGCCAGGGAAGGTGTACCAGCCCATGATGGTAACATCAACATAGGCGGGCCACTCCCCACTGCTCTCTACCCCGCTCTACTGCACTCCACCGCTCACCTGCAGCCAGCAGCCAGCGAAGGTGTACCACCCCATAATGGTTACGTCTACATATGAGGGCAGCAGCACGAGGTCCTGGGTGTCCTTGTCGCCTCCGAACATGGCCGAGTCAAAGACAGCGTGCAAGAAGAGACACCAGTCCACCAGCGCTGCGTATGACATGAGGGCTATGTGCGTTCCCACTCCTGCAGGGAGGGGGGCATAGATGAGGGGAAGGGTTGAGAGACTAAGGGTATCGGACAGCATGTCAGGGTATCGGACAGCATGTCAGGGTATCGGACAGCATGTCAGGGTATCGGACAGCATGTCAGGGTATGGGAGCAGCAGTGAGTGAACGAGAGCTTGCAGGAAGAGACACCAGTCGACAAGGGCTGCGTATGACATGAGGGCTATGTGCGTGCCCACTCCTGCAGGGAGGGGAAGGGATAGAGAGATTGGGAGGATGGGAACTTAATGCTACGTGTGTGGCAGATGCTGAAGAGTGTATGGGACTGGGAGCAGCGGCGAGTCGAAGACAGCGTGCAGGAAGCGGAAGAGAGTGAGCGGGAGGAGAGGAAGCAATCGGCACCTACCTGCAGAGGAGCACTGAGTGGGCTCCAACGGAGGTCTGATGCTGGGCCAGCGCGCAGGGAGAGAGCGAGAGGGAGGAGGGAAGCCAACCGCACCCACCTGCAGAGTAGAGCACGCAAGCTGGGTTCAGCTCACCTGCAGAGGAGTACTGAGTGGGCCTCAACGGAGGTCTGATGCTTGGCCAGCGCGCAGGGAGAGCGAGGTCAGAGTTAGGGAATAGCCATGCCGCCACCTGAGAGGGGGTGGTTACGAGCAGGGAACACAAGGGGTCCGAATACAGGGAGGCAGTTGGAGTGGGATGCAGTGGGTGGGGAATGCTGGGCCAACGCGTAGGGGGAGCGAGGTCAGAGTTGGGGAATAGCCATGCCGCCACCTGAGAGGGCGCAAAAAAGAATAGCCAGGAATACAAGGGGTCCGAATAAAAGGAGGCAGTTAGAGGGAGTGGGATGCAGTGGGTGGGGAATGCTGGGCAAGCAGGCCGGCAAAGCGAGGGCGGAGTTGGGAAAGAGGCACACTGCCACTTGAGAAGGCACTGCAAGGAGAGAGAGGGAGGGGGGCAGTGGCGGGAAACGCAAGAAGAGAGAGAGTCCACAAGAATGCGGATTAAAGGGAGACCACAAAGCAGCGAGTGTTGGTGTAAGACGACAAAATGTGGTGAAAGGTGCTGGAAAGCGGTGGAAAGTGCTGGAAAGGGGTGGAAACCGGTGTCGCAGAAGGGGAGCGCTGCGCTGTGTGGGCACCTGGGAGGCATTGGCGAAGAGCATGACTTCGGTGGCGAGGTGGAATATGCGTCCGTAGTTGTGGCGCTCCATGAACTTCTTTAGTATGAACCATCGCACCTGATGGAAAGGTAGGGGGAAATGTTGGAGGAAGAACAACGATCAGGGGGGAGTGGGAGAGTGGCGAGGTGGAATATGCGACTGTGGTTGTGGCGCTCCATGAACTTCTTTAGGATGAACCACGAACGAAAAGGGGGGGAAACAGAACAACAGTGAGTGAAGAGCATGACTTCGGTGGCGAGGTGGAATATGCGTCCGTAGTTGTGGCGCTCCATGAACTTCTTTAGTATGAGCCAACGGACCTGATGGAAGGGGGGAGAGGATGGGGGAGCGGGAAGAGAACAGCGATCAAGGCAGAGTGGGAACGTGAGAGTGGAGGAATATGCGTCCATAGTTGTGGCGCTCCATGAATTTCTTTAGGATGAGCCAACGGACCTGATGGAAGGGGGGAGAGGATGGAGGAGCGGGAATAGAACAGCGATCAAGGCCGAGTGGGAACGTGAGAGTGGAGGAATATGCGTCCGTAGTTGTGGCGCTCCATGAACTTCTTGAGTATGAACCAGCGCACCTGATGGGGAGAGGGGAGTGGATGGAAGAAGAAGAAGAAAAAAAACTCCCATGTTTCCTGTGAGTAAGATTCATATACTCACGACGCATTTCTCAAACGAGTCACAGTTGAAATGCTTCGAAGTGACCTATTTGAACCCACATGCACAAACCCACAAAGCTTGCACCCCTCCATACTCACGTCCACGTGGACTGGAGTGCTAAGGCTGTTACATTGTTACCTTTCCAGGAATAAACTCACGTGCACGTCAACTGGAGTCCCGAGGTTGCGGATGAACCACTCGTACACCTCCTCGTACTCCGCATGCTCCTCGAACGCCACCCCCATGTGGAAGAAAAACTGCCGACACTCCCGAGGGCCGATGAAATGCACCGCGTTGTTGTGCTTGCGCGCCTGGTCGGGGAAGCACAGGCAAAGAAAGCAGAGGAATAAAAGTGTTTATAGTGTATTTCGTGTTCAGTGCTGTTTCATGTTACAGACAAGTAACTCAGTAGCTCATGAGAGCAAAATTAAATAAATTTATGAATGGATACACAAATTCATATGGACATCTCACCTCGGAGACTACTTTATAGACATAATGTGACTTATGGCAGGGCGAGGCTCCCGGGCGGCCATGGTAGAACACCACCGGCACCTCCACTTGCACCTGACGGACAGGCAGGAAGGGGAGGGGTGGGTATGGATGAGAGGTGGTGCGGTGAGGTGATGGGTGTGCGTGCGCTAATCGTGTGTGTGTGTGCCCTGCCGGGCGGCCGTGGTAGATAGAAGCCCACTGGGACCTCCACTTGCACCTGATGGACAGAACGGGGGTTGAGTGGGATGCATGGGATGCATGGGATGCATGGAGGTGGCGTGTGTGGGTGGATTACAAGGACACGTGGCAGGGCAAGGCTTCTGGCACGGGCACAAGTCACAAGTGGCGTGTGACACGTGGCAGGGCAGGGCAGGGCTTCTGGGCGGCCGTGGTGGACGCAGGACGACCCCACTGGCACCTCCACTTGCACCTGCCAGATGGATGCTCATCGGTTTAGAGGTTTAGATGCAGGTGCAGTGGGCCCCGATCAATAGGGGAAGGATGGGATGCGTGGGGGATGTGAACGCCAAGGGTGGAATGGTTTTTGCGGCGCCTCGAAATCGGATGAAAAAGGATGGGATGAAGGAGGTGGCAGTGAGAATAGAGAGGTTGTTGAGAATTCTCAAAAACCAGTGATTCCACGTCCACGTCCACGTCCACACGACTCTCCGTGGGCTCCCATGCCCCAGGTACCCTCCTCACACCCATGGGAGTGACTTGCATACTGAGAATTCTAAAAAACCAGTGATTCCACGTCCACGTCCACACGACTCTCCGTGTGGCAGGGAGGGAAAGCCGCTGGGCTGCCGTGGGTGCAACGAATGCCTCCACATGGGTGTGAGGAGGGTACCTGGGGAGGGAGAGGAGCAGTGGTGCTAGGCATGGGGGTGGGAGCTCCGCATGCAAGTCACTCCCACCTCCATGCCTCCCGCCCTCCCTCCACTCCTCCCTCCGATTCCCCCTCCCTCATCCTTGCATTCATGTCATTTGGGTCCCACTCGGGCAGGTCAGGTCAGGCAAATGACTTCTGAGTCAACGTACTAATCACCTCCTTCCTCCCCAATTCCCGCTTCCCCCTTGCCCGTCCCCCTTTCCCCCTGCCTCCTTCCCCTTCTTCCCTCCATCACCCCCCACCCGTCCCTCCCCTCCCCCCCCCTCCCCCTCCCTCCCCCCTCCACTCACGTCGTTGGGGTCCCATTCGGGCAGGTCGGGCGGCGTGAAAGACGCCAGCGTGGGCGGGTCATCCCCGCTATCGATAGCCGCGGACAGCGCGTTATAAAGCGCGGTGTCCGCGCCGTACGCGCCGTACTCCTCCTCCCCGCCCTTCGCGCCGCCGCGCGACCACGCGTTAGGGCGGCCCAACAAGGACAGAGTTAAATGCTCAACCACGTAACTTAGATTGTATGACACTACTATCAGAATCGCTATATATAGGCATCTAAGGCGCGGGGAGGCTTGGGGGAAGGGGCCTTTAGAGGGGGAGCTTGGGGAGTAAGGGGGGGAATACGGCGGGGAATACGGCGGGGAATACGACGGGGAGTGCGGCGGGGATCGCGCGGTGGCGTGGGAAGCGTGGGTGAAGAGGGGGGAGGCGGAAGGGCGGAGCGCGGGGGAGCCGAACGTGGGGTGATTGTGGCGGCCGCTGGCGGAAAAGGTGCGCTCCATGAGTGGAAACGTGGGGAGGCGGCGGAAGAGGGGGGAATATGGGAAAGAAGGGCGCTGCGAGAAAGGCGGCGTTGGTCGCGGCGTTATGTGCGCTGCGAAGGACGGCGCAGCTGCTGATGCCGCCCTTCCTCGTTCATTCTCGCAAACCGTACGGACCTCGGAGGACTACCGCAATTCCCGGGATGAGGACATAACACCCAGTTGCGGAGACATCTGTAGCGGAGACCGCAAGCTTGTTGGTGCGTCGTCAGTGCAAGGAGACAAGGAATGCTTGCTTCTGGACGAGGCGGGTGGAGTGGGGGGGAGAGAGGAAAGGAAACACGAGAGCGTGGTGACGGGTTGTACGCAGCAAAGGGATGACTCGGTATGCGTGGCACATGTGATACGGAGTGGCAGATGTTCAAATTGTTAAGTTTAACGATCACCCTTTTGTTTCACTTCTCTGTATACATAGCTGAAATTTTGCACAACAAGCATAGTGGCAACATGAAGGGGAGCTGCTGATGGAATGGAACTGTATTGGAGCATTTCCGTATGGAGTACAGAACGTGGAAGGTGAATGCCTCGCCACGTCGGAACCTCACCTCGGCTCGCTTGTTTTGATTCCACGATGCCAGATTGTCCATGACGTGGACGCCAGAATCTCCGCCAAACTCGAAATTTGTTCGTTGCCCAAGGCAACTTTGGAGGACTCGATAATGCCGGAGTCAGTTGCAAAATGTTGCACGCAGAAACAAAACAAGCTCGACCTCCCACCAATTGGCCCGCGGGCAGCATAAAACAAACTGCCGACCACTCCGAACCGCGTCTCTTGATTCCGGATGGAGCGTGCAGATGCCTCCATCAACAACCACTACGAATCTGGACCGTAAGTGCACTCCACTCCTCCATCCCCTCGCTTCGTTAGAGATTCACTACGGACTGATGAGTGGTGTGGTGAGTGAGTGAACCGACCACCACAATGCGCCATTCGCATTCCACCCGGCACCTGCTGCTACTTTCCCTGACCTTTTATATAGCGCGGATCCCCGACATCGCTGTTACGTCAGGTGCACATTAGTGGGAAGCAGTGTTCGCATTCCAGTCAGCCATAAGGGTCCATCCACTGTCGTCCTTCGACTTGAAACTCACACGTTGAGTCGCTTCTCCGTCGACGCAGTCCCCGACGTGCTCGATCCTCCTAACGCCAATCACGACGTAATCATGGTGCGACGCGACGCCGGCGAGCACCAGAAGCTGTTAGTGCCCGTGCAGCCGAGATCGCCGTCGCGGAGCTATGCGAACTGGCTGTGCGACGCCATCGAGCGATTTCTGAATGCGAGGATCACAACGCCTCCCAGCACGACGTACCTCACGGGCGTGTTCGCTCCTGTGGTCAAGGAAATCGGTCCTGTGCCTGACCTCCCCGTCACCGGCCATCTCCCAGTACGTTCGCGCCACGGGGACCTCCATATCCTTGCCACGTGTCAGCCGGATATAGTACCCGTTAGCCATGTTTTCAGCCCACGTTTTTGTCCCCCCACGATCGCTGTTACGCGTCGCGCTGCCCCCGCAGCCCATCCGCCCTGACCGTGCGGGACCCCGCTTACCCCCGCGTCTCCCCACTCCCCATTTCGCCCGCGTCCGCACCCCCACTCCCCCTGCGCAGGAGTGTTTGAACGGCGAGTTCGTGCGCAACGGGCCGAACCCCAAGTTCGCGCCCACCTTCAGCTACCACCTCTTTGACGGCGACGGGTGAGTGCCAGTGGCTTTCGAAGTGCCTCAACAGTCGTCTTTTTACCCGCAATTTCTATATCGAAAGAACTTTGTGCTGAGAGTTGTCCGCGCATTTTCTAACAACCCTCACTTCCCTTCTCCCTCCCCTTTTCCTCTCCCACTTCTCCCCTCCACCCCCTGCTTCCGCGCTCTCCGTCCATCAGCATGCTGCACGGAGTACGTATCAAGGATGGCAAGGCGAGCTACGTCAACCGTTAGGTGCGCACAAGCGTTGAGACAACTTCCTCCCCCATTCCTCCTCCGCTCCCCTCCCTTGTTCCCCCTCCCCCCACCCCTCCACCAGCATGCTGCACGGAGTACGTATCAAGGACGGCAAGGCGAGCTACGTGAACCGCTGGGTGCGCACGAGCCGCCTCGAGCAGGAGTCGGCGTACGAGCGCGCCAAGTTCCTGAAATTCGGGGATATGCTCGGATACGTGGGCCTGGGGAAGATATTCTTAGAGCAGCTGCGCAAGTGGCTGGGGGTGCTGGACCTCTCCCAGGGCAACGGCACCGGGAATACCGCGCTCATCTTCCACGCGCGCCGCCTGCTCGCGCTGCACGAGGGCGACGCGCCGTACGCGATACAAGTGCTTCAGGACGGCGAGTTGGAGACGAAAGGGAGGTTGACGTATGGCGGGCGGCTGAAGCACCCGTTTACGGCGCATCCCAAGGTGGATCCCGAAACGGGCGAAATGTTCACGTTTGGTTACCAGGCCAAGGCGCCGTTCGTGACCTACCGCGTGGTGACTAAAGCGGGGGAGATGGGTCCGCCTGTCAACATCACCATCCCCACGCCTGGCATGATGCATGATTTCGCCATCACACAGAATTATGCGATCTTTTTAGATCTTCCCTTGGAGTTTGCTCCGAAAGAGATTGTCAAGGGCAGGATGCCGTTCCTGTGGAACCCGGACCGGCCAGCCAGGTTCGGCATCCTGCCTCGGTACGCGGAGAGCGAGGCGGAGCTTCGGTGGTTTGAGCTGCCGGCGCTGTTCATCTTTCACACGGGGAACGCGTGGGAGGAGCAGACGGAGAAGGGCGAGACGGAGGTGGTGCTGATTGCATGCCGGTTCGATGAGATGAACCTTGAGCTGGAACAGATGGAGGCGGACAAGGCTGCCAGACTGTGAGTTGATTTATACCAGAATGATGGGGTGCTGGTGGCTTCCACTCTCTTGTGCTCATTGCGTGCTGGTTTGATGAGATGAGCCTGGAGCTGAAACAGATGGAAGAGGACAAGGCTGCCAGACTGAGCATTGTGAAGTCTGGGTTTGAGTTTGTAAGGGGCTGAGAGTGCGTTTACTGCTCGGTGTAATGCGTGGGTCACTGTGGAGGTATTTACTCTCATTCTCCCTATTTTCCCATTCCCCCCCCCCCGGTCCCTCCGCCCCCGCCTCTCAGCTACGAGTTCCGGTTCAACATGGCGACGGGCAAGGCATCGCAGCGCCAGCTCACCACGTTCGGATGCGACTTCCCGCGCATCCACGACGGCTACATGGGGCGGTGAGTGGGTGGAGGTGCTGTGCGCTGTGGGTGGTGTGTGTATGTCATGTGGGTGTGCCATGGGTGTGCCATGGGTGTGCCATGGGTGTGCCATGGGTGTGCCATGGGTGTGGCATGGGTGTCGCATGGGTGTGCCATGGGTGTCGCATGGGTGTCGCATGGGTGTGCCATGGGTGTCGCATAGGTGTGCCGTGGGTGTGGCATGGGTGTGGCATGGATGGGTATGCAATGGGTGTGCTGTGTTGTGTGACTTCCCGTGCATCTGTGATGGCTACACGGGGCGGTGAATCCATGGGCGTGCTGTGAGAGTGGTGTTGGCTGTTGTCTCGTGTGTTGTGTGACTTCTCGCGCATCCACCACGGCTGCATGGGGCGGCGAGCGATGGGGCTGGATGGTTTGGTGAGTGGAAAATGGTCAGCAGCGAAGCGAGGCTGGCTGCACGAACCCGTCGGTTTTATAAACAATTGGATCCGCATGAGAACAAGGAAAGGAATAGGAACAATCGGTTTTATAACAGGTTGCATGCATCCCTTTCTCTCGTTTCTTCCTTCCTTTCTCCCCCTTTTCCTCCTCCACAGCAAGCAGCGCTACCTGTACTACGTCTCCTTTGAAGGCATTACCCACATCTGCAGCATTGTACACAGCCTTTTATCGTCACCTTAAACCCTCCTTCCTTTCCCTTACCCCTCCACCCCCCTCTGTGCCCCTCCTTCCTCTCTTGCACCCCATCACCTGCACCTGCAGCAGTGCACACTCAGCCTTCCTTTCTCCCTCCTCTTTGCCCCTTTCCCCCCCATCACAGCAAGCAACGCTACGTCTATTGTGCCTCCTTCGAGGGCATCACACGCATCTGCGGCATTGCCAAGATAGACCTCCAAAGTGCCCCGGACCTCTCTGCACCGTACTACACCATCGGCGGCTGCGTCTCAGGGTTCTTCGACCACGGGCCGGGCAGGTTTGGGTCCGAGCCTGTGTTTGTGCCTCGGAGCAACGAGCCTGGCCTGGAGGAGGACGACGGATACGTGCTGACCTTCGTCCATGACACCAACACAGAGTGAGTGACACTTCTGACCCGTATTATCTCCTCCTCTTTTGGGTTCCCCAAGGTGCTCACTGCCTTGCAGTCCCTGCTTCTGTACACCTGCTCCCTCCTCACGGTCCCCTCAGACCCCCTTTTACCTCCCCAGTTCTACGTGTCCCTCGGACCCCCTTTCACCTACTCCCCTCCTCCACTATCCTCGAAGACCCTCGCCTCTCCATTTGTCCACCTCGCTCCCCCTTGTTCATCCCCGCTTGTCTTCCTCTCTCCATCCTCTCTCTTCCACACCTCCCTTCTCCCGACCATTATCTCCAGAAAGTAATGCTGTAAGCAATAGTCCCTCCCCTCAGCCCCCTTTTCCCTGGTCATTCACACTCCCTCACCCCCTCCCAACTACTCTACTGCTTCCCCCCAGGCAGCATTTCAGAGGTGGTGGAGCTTGACGCCAAGATCACGGCCTCTACCCCTGTTGCCATTACCCCCACTGCACCCTTCCCCCCAGTCATCCACACTCCCTCACCTCCTTCTCACTTCGTGCTCTCCGTCTCTTCCCACCTCCCCCGCTTCCTCCCCACCAACCAGCATCTCCGAGGTGGTGGTGCTGGACGCTAAGACCATGGCCTCTACCCCCATCGCCACCATCCGCATGCCCCAGCGTGTGCCATACGGCTTTCACGGCATCTTTGTTTCCGAGGTATGC